AGCTTGCTATGCTGCCACATGAATCGTTCCTTCAGGATCCTTAGGAAGTGCAAAGCTCCCGAGTGCTCCTAGGCAAACCGCTGGCATGAATGGGAGTTTTGCCGTGTATGTCGGTGGAAACGGGCTCAGAGACTCTCTGGCATCCAGCTTTCCAAGTAAGTGTTTTAAAAGGCAAAGACTTGGGATAAAGAAAAAGAACAGCAGTATGGTGAGAGTCTCAGGAGGTTTGGAGAATTCCTCCACCTCTGAGCTGTGTTTTTCCTTCTCCTCTCTAGTTTCCCCCGAGTTGCTGGGAAGCGGTGGCAGCGAGCTTTTAAGTGAATGTAATGCCTTGGTCCTAAAGGGCGTTGAGGAAACATTTCCATTTGCTCAGAAGGGGTAAACGAGTCCATAAAATGAGAACCAAGTGCTGCAACCTTTTCCCCAGCAGCGATGCCCTTGGTGGCTGAGATGGTGGGACAACCTCAGAGGAGGACTTGCGAGTGTCAAATGAGAAAGGGGTAGCCACAGAGGGGATGTTGCACCACAGCAGCAGTGCGAGGGGACAGCTCCAAGCCCCCCTGCAGCCACATGGCCTGGTGGCAGGGACAAGGCAGGCAGGTGCAGCCTGGACGGCTCTAGGCTCTGCCCTGCATGCTGGTGGGGAGGCTGGCGTGCCTGATTTGGATAGCCATGAGGCACACTTTGGTTTCTCAGGCTCTGAGCTGGAAAGGGCCATCCTGCTAGTGTGTGGCCACCCAACTAGGAAATCTTCACTTTTCTGCTCTCATTAGGGACAGCGTTCAGGAAACAAGGATGCATGAGGCGCTCCTCAGTGGCCGAGTTCATTCATGCTGCAGGCATAGATTAAATGGCCATTTACAAACATGGCTACAGCAGCAAGGCTTAAAATATCTTGAGCACAGAACAGGGCACCCCGGTTCCTTCAGACAGAGCTCCGCAGGGACATGCTGGTTTTCCATGCCATCATTTTCAAGGACACTTTCCAGAGTGAAGACTCAGATGCCTGAAAGAACTGAAAACCATTAAAATACGGTAGATATGCTCCCACCATGGGTAGCTTGAGTGGAGACCTTAAAACCCAAGAATGTTCATAGACATACGTTTTCCAACCACTCGTCTTTGTAGTCAGTGGCCATTTCTAACTAGGTGTAAAGTCACATAAGGAGCTAGAGTGTGTGGTTTTGCATATTTTCCTTTTTTATTTTCTTATTCCAAAGAAGGGTAGATCTACTTTTGAGCCTGCTCAGAGCAGTATACACAGGCATACAACCTTCACCTCAAAAATATAACTATGAAAAATCTTTTCCAAGTTGCTAACATTTCCTGGACCTCCTACATTTCAGGGCTGGTTATGGCAGGATTCTGCCATGTGTTAAACCCTCCAGCTTGAATGGGCAGTCCATCACAGGCTCTATTTTATAGACAGAAACTAGACAGACCGAATTCTTTTCCTGGGGTCATACAGGTCTGTGGCAGAATCAGGGGCTGAAGCTCCAGCTCCATGTTCAAGAAGGAACATGAGAAGCCATGACCCCGCTTTTTGTTTGCCTTTCTATGCTTCCCTGCTCTGATCCTCTCCCATTTTCACATTCAAAGCCTGGATCCAGCAGTTTCTCCACTACTAAGGGTTTCTTTAGTGTGACAAAAGCCATATTTTACAGGCGCTGCTTCAGAGGACCCAAGACAAGCCATTCAACACAGTATGCATTTCTGAGGCAGAACGTGAGAAAAAAAATGTGCTTCCAATACTCTAATCCATGACTAGAGAAAGCCAAGTCATAAAGGGAGCTGCTACCAGCAGCTTACCAGTATGAGCCAGAGATGGAAACTAACTGGGAGCACTAGGCTATGGCATGCACTTTGTCCTCAGCTACTCGAGACAGAAGATACAAATAGGTAGAGAAACCGTTCTAGGACTCAGCACGAGACCTGTAGTGCAAGAGCAGGAAGAGCAGCCCTGTTGGACTACGAACTATTTATTCCCCTGTTGCAAAATGTTTGCTCCGTTTCAGCCTGCAAGGATACGTACTTTTGCACCACTGGTTTCTGGTTTGCGCTGCAAGTTCCTACATTCTTCCCTTCCCAGCAAAGCCCTGTAGAAGCATGGTGCTCTTTGTGTCACTTCTCCATGCCTGCTTTCATGCAGACGTACTACTGGTCACAAGCCATAGCCTCGGGAACTCCCAGGCAAGCGCTGAAATGCCAACATTTGTTGATATTTGCAATGATGTAATAGGCTACACTTATCCCCATTGGAGTGTCATCAACTTTACTGGAATTACTGTTTCCTCAACATGTAATTAATTTCATTGCCACTAGATATCCCTGGAACTAAGACGTCTGAAGGCATTTTAAATAGATGTAAGGTACTTATCTGGGTAATAAAACTACTCTGGTTATAATTAAGATATTGTTTTCTTAAGGATTATAAAACCTTCTATTTCAGGGCAATTAGTAACTGATGAAAAATGTCCCATTACAATTGCAAGTTTGCTAGCACCTCTGAGGCCAAGGATGCCAGCTATTGTTTTGTAGACAGGATACTAAATGAGACAGTCTTCTAGTCTGCTCCGAGAGGACAATTCTCATTCTAATCAGCGATGCATTTGGCCTGTTGTTTACCCATGAGTCAAGAGATATGAGGATGACCTTCTCTGCCACCATAACCTTGGTTGAAACCAAAAAGGATTTCCTTTTTGGATCAAAAGCAGCATAATGACATCTGTCATATAGAACACTGCTGAATTCTGCCCATTCTGGGTCTTTTGGAACATGCAGTCATTTTGAAACAATGCTAGAAGCACTGCATTCATTTGATATGTTTGTTCCTTTTGGGCAACTGTTGCTGAAAATGGAAGGAATGAACCCAAAATGATGTATATTTTGCTGATGACAATGCCCTTGTAATTCTTTCCTGATCGGGTATGGATGCTTAGCTATCCAACATATGTTTCCACAGAAGTCTGTCCTCAAATAATCCATGGTACCTTGATGGGTTATAGGACCAGATTAGGAAAAGTAAATTGTTCTTTAACAAGTCGTGCTTGCCCATCCTTAGTCACATTGCACAGACTAAACCACCTCAGCACCCTTAAACCCCATGTGTGAGAAGTTGCCTAGCCAAAGCCTTCACGCAGAGGCACCTTCACAGCTCTGCCCATTGCAGCTGGAGCCACAGGGCCAGGCCTGCCCAGGGTGGTCTGGGGAGCTTTTGGGGATGGAGCAAGGTGCTCACCCTGTCACTTTTGCAGACACAGGGACTCCAAATCCTCAGGCTGGGGCTGTGGGGAGAAACATCTATCTGGAGCCAGGGCTGCAGGGTTGGAAGGTCAACACCAGTTGACCTGTTGTTGAAGAGTTTCCCTCTTGAGTCCCCTCCTTTGAGGGACAGCAGGGTTTTCCCCTCACATCTCATCAGCAGCAGGCTCGCTGAGGGACGACTCTTCCTCTTCTGGTTCAGAGCATCTTTGTTCCAATTTAATTTAAGCCTCTCTTGGCACAGGACTATATATTTTGAGATGACTTCCCCCCGCCCCAGTAAATTTGAGATGCTGGAGGTTTAACTGTTTCAGCTGCTTAACATAAGAGCCAGGGGAGGCAAGAATGTGAAGGAGGAAAATAAAGAATCATGGATTGTCAAAGCTGACTTCCTTCCTTCCAGCTTTTGTTTGCCTTGTTTGAGCCCTAGAAGGGCTATACATATTCCCAGAGTTGTGGGAATCCTGTTTCCTTTCCTGTCTGGTGTTTCCAATGAGCACTTCACTGTAAATGCAGTAAACACTGTAACAAAAGCATATTGTTCAATCCTTGTGTCTTTGTTTGGACATTGTCACAATCATAATTAGTATTTTCCACTTCTGTAGGCCTGTCATCTGCAGATCTTAAAGTGCTTTACAAATATTTGAAACATCTAGTGAGGGAAGCAAGTATTAATAGCTCCATTTAACAGATGGGGAAACAGACACACAGAAGCAGCAAGTGCCCTGTCCTTGAAGCGGGGACAGAGCCAACAAGGAATATTCGGCTCCTGCAACCAGGCATTTTTGAAATCCCGTCAAAAATAAAGAGAAACGCCCTGGATCTGTCCTGGTTTGGAAACGGATAGGACATAATGCCAGAGGGGTACACTACACTGATGGACTAGACAGAAAAATTGTTGAGCTATTTACTGCTTATGCTATTAAACAGTTAATTTCTTGCTTTCTCTTCTGCTAATATTTGTTCCTGGGACAAAGTGGGAAAAAAAACAGTCCAAGATGTTCCAAAAAGTCTGAAAGCTGAAACAGCTGCTAAAATAAGCGAGTGTCTTGCTGGCTGGGCTCTTCAGGTCAGGAGATTGCGATTCACCCCCAGATGTTAAGGCCACAGAGGAAATGTCTCTGAGCAGGGTTTGGGGACAAAATGCACAGCTGTACACAAACAGCAAAGAAATCCAAGTAACGTAAGATAAACTAAGCAAGGCAACTAAAAGTACCGATCGAACTTCCCCTCGTGTCTCAAAGAGCCAGACATGGAAATTTCACTTCTTTAAATGCCAACGTAGCTGCCAACCAGTATTTGTTAATGTTCTCATCACAGCTGCCGACTCCTCCAAGCCTGCCGGAGGTCTGGACTAGAGGAAGTGAGTTGCTTCAGTTCTCCCCAGCACACCCAAATGAAGTTAACAAAAGGAGAAGTAAAACCAAAGACAGAACTTTGGTGAAAGCCAGGCTTCTCGCAAACTTCATTTGTTTTTGGACCTTAACAGGCCAAATCACTAGCAGTGCAAATCCTCCTGAGAACGTGCCTCAAACACCTGCTGTGCCCCAGAGTCCTGCAGTTCTCGTCTCCGTGCTCACCAAGCCCCGCTTCTGCTAAGCCTCCTGGGCAAAGCCCTGCCAGGCCCCACGTTCCCTTTGCTGTTACACTCAGACAGCTGAAAAAGAAGCTGCGCTTCATGCTCCCAAACAAAAACACGGACAACGTTCTTTTACATTTATTTTCTTTTCCATCCCCAGAAGCTGCTGCCCTGCTGTGTATGAAGCTTAATTGAAGTCATGTCCAGAAGGAAAGTCAACTAAATCAGGTAGGGATTGGCGCTGCAGACTGGTGTGATTTTTATTTACAGGGAAATATTATATATACAGGAAAGGGGTTTTTCCTTCCCGTTTTGCAAAAAGTCATTTGACCTCCCCTTGTATTCTGAATTACTAGTTGCTAGAAAGCTACCCAGAGCTCAGAGGAAACGAACATCCGCAATTCTGCTGTAATGACTTTCCTGCTGTATTTTCTCTACCTCATGGCAATGTGCTTATATACAAGACCATGTCGCAATGTTGACTCTAAAGGCAGCCACTAACATGAACCAGCAAACTGTACTACCTGCCACACACCGAGTGTGCTCTGTGCATGGCAGGAGGGAAACGCATCGTGTGCGTAGCCTGCTCTTTCTTACAGGCTGCCTCTGTGCTTGCATGGGAATACCGCTTGCCCACAGACAGACAGCCACGTCAGTGAGGTTTGCCCTGCACATAAAGTCAGCCCAGCAAGATCTGAGCAGCAGCCCACGTACTCCTATGCCCAGGCTGCTTTTCAGTAGACAAGAAAATAGCTGGCAATTCATTTTCTTGAGAGCTTCCCTTGTCCTGGAGCTATAACTCAGCAATGCCCTCTCTGGGTATTCCTGAGGTAGCTTTACAGTCACATTGCTAGAATGCCACTTCAATTCATGTCTAGGTGTCCTCTCCCCAGTGACTTACTGAGAGGGGATTTAACCTGTCTGCGGTAAGGAGCAGAAGCTGCTATCACTTAACGCAGACATACGAGACTTCTTCATCCATCATAGAAATACTCAGAGAACAGTATATGCAGGCCCAGTGACACTCTCCCTGTTCAGGTGGGGGTTTGAGTGTGTTAGCACCATCAGAGGAGCTATTGATTTAAGACAAGCTTTGGCGCCACACCAAAGGACTTAGCTTAGCCTCATCTCACTGCAAGCCTGTTTTTAACGCCAACACTTTTCGTTCCTATTGTACACAAAGCACCAATAGCAGCATCTCAGCCATTTAATCCTTGTCATAGCTCCAGAAGACAGATTCTTCCCCCCCCCACCCCAACTTCCCAGGCAAACATTGCCCCTGCCCTAGGCTTTGAGGTACACTAGTGATTTTCTTCTGTGCAGTGGTGTGCAGAAACAGGTCAGACAGGCCCCAGGGAGCAGAGCTAAGCCCATTTTTGCTGATCAGCCTGCTTTATTCCCTAGTGACATTCTCAGGAGTTGCCCTGGTTATTTTTAGGACTACTGAGAGCTGCCAGGGCTCTCACACATCAGGATGTTTCATGGCTTCACTCAGCCCCTCACACTGCACCTAGTCAGAAGGATTACTTGGAAGATGAATGTGACTTTCTACAAGCTTGTACAAGCCTGAATGAGGAAGACCCAATGCAGGTGGCTATCAGCTTTATATACCCTGTGCTAAGCAGTCTCCCCCCAACTAGCTACATAGTTCTAGCTGCTGCTATAGCCTGCATAACACCTCTTCCAAGCTAAACTCTCCCTTTCCAGGCATGCAAGCGTCATGCTCACACAACAACAGAGATCAATACTTCCCCTCAGAAGACAGAGCCAAGTCAAATACAATTTACTCATTTCCCTCCTTAGCATATAAATAAAACCCTAGCCCTGCTTACTTCTACCCTTGCAGAAAGCTCTTCTCACACCCAGAAACACAGCTAGGCCATCAAGAGCCAGTCTGGCTTCTCCCCCCATTTATACATGACAAGGGCAGCTATGCTAGAAGAAAGGCTCCAGCTGTGTCTACTCCTAACTGATGTAACTTCTGCCTGCCTGGGGGGGGAGTCTGTCAGGTGAGGAGGAGGAGGTTGTGCTGTGGGTGAGAATCCCTGGGCTGAGAAGGGAGTTCAGATAGGGTTGAGAAGGTGATGGTCACTTGAGAGAACAGTGTCCTGGTGTGATCAGAAGGGCTGTGGGACTACCGAGTAGTGTCCAACCTTTGAGGTGAAACAGGGACTTTTCTTTCAGGGGCCTGAGTGATTTGAGGGAAGGCAGGAGGATCTCTGCCCAAAGGCCACCCACACCCAGAAGGGGTCCACTAAATGGCCCAGACATGATGGGAATGTCTATGCCCCTCATAAGTGGGGGGAGAAAACATGAGCCTTTCTAAAACGTTAGAGGAGCGGCTACATGAAGTGTCTGGTCTGTGGTTAGTCTGGCTTGCAAATGCAGCCACTGTTAGATCTTCCACACAGTCATCACTTTTTTCATATAAAAGGCATATTCAGATGAAAAGCCAGCTAAATAAGAAGTTGGGAGAAGGCACGGATACCTTCATGCTCCTTATGGCTTTGAAATCTACCCTCCAAGGGATGCAGGAGCCCACAACGCGTTGGCTCACAAGGAGGAAGGCACTAAGTGGCCGTGCAGCAGCTCCCTGGAGGAATACGAGGGCTCTGGCTCACTTCTCTTCGCTGTGCAGCAGTCAGGGACCAGTGTTGACCCAGCACTAGCGTGAGGCCTGGCTTTAGGAGACAAAAAGGCAGGGACAGAGATGTGCCAGCCTGCTCTATCCTAGGGCTGGCTTGGCCTGAAGGCAGCACTGAGCTGTGCCTGCGCGTGGCGGAGGCAAGGATGAGCACGCCTCACTCAGCGCTGCCGCCCCTCTGCCTGGAAGGGCCCTTCCCGGAGCTCGGCTCCGTGCCCTGCCGGAGGTGGGGAGTTCCCATGGGGCAGAAAGGCTGCTCTACCGCCTTCGCAGCTGGCACGGGCCGCCGGAGGCTACCACATCCCCCACGTCCCCCGATGTACGGCACTCATCTTGCACGTAGCAAGGGGCTGCGCTGGCTTCATCCTGTGGCTTTATCTGTCGTGGGTTCTGAGTCAGACAGTTAATTTTAACTCCCCGATGCAGATGCTTGCTCTGCCCTGCTTCCCCCAATGCCCGCTGGAGTGTGTCCCTTTCTGAGGGGTGGAGAAACTGAAGTGCCCTGATTTATTAGCACCTCAAAGCTGTGGGATGTGAAAAACAAGCTCAACCTGGGAACAAAAAACAAAAATACAACTGCTGTCACGGCAACTGTCTCCAGATGCACGAAGAGACCAATTATTTCCATTAATCAACTTAGTGAGAAGCTGCAGAAGAGGCTTAAAATGCAGCCAAGGTTGGATGCTGGGAGGAGCAGAGAGCTTCATTAAACCTTGGTTGCCAAGGGAAATTGTGGTTCCTATTATCACTGAGGATTTTGGGAGCAGACACTAAGCACCTGTCCCTAGTGGAGACGAAAGGTGATGCTGCCCCAGTGCAGGGGTAGAGGTGCCTTATGCACCCCGCGCCAGGCTGAGCCTCAGCTAGTGCAGACCAGCACAGCTGCACGGCCAGACCAGACGGATGCGTGCAGCACCAAGCACAGCCACGCTCCTGGGCGTCTGGAGCATGCTGCTGCGTGTTGCCTTTCCAAATGATTAGCTGGAGCCTTTTACCATTAATGTGAACATAACTAACAGCCTTGTGTAGTCACTGACACGCGCGTGGGGCTGGAGCCTGGTCAGCAGAGAGATCAGCACAGACTAACACTAATGAAGCTAAGCCTCTCGCCTCCCCACCTTCACCCCCAGGCCTTCCCCACTCCCCTGGGGACTGCTGTGCACATGCACGAGGGAGTCATTCTGCCCCCCCGAGGCCGAGGGTTGTCCGTAATTCTGAATTCTGCTGGAGCATCTCTTGCATCAGCTGGGAGCAAGGCAATGGCCAGAAGGACCTGGAGCAGCAGGAGGTACTTTGGGACGGCAGAGATACTGGGGGCAGGGGGACAATGAGACGTGCCTGACAGCCCACCTTTACATCTCTTCAGCCACTAACTGACGGAGAGAGAGAGAAATCCTGGAAGGGCAGTGGGGTACCACTCCAACTCTGGTGGCACGAGGGGTTCCTGGTGAGCATTTTCATGCTCTTCTGCTCTGGAAAGGAGCCCTTGAACAAATGAGCTGGACACACGTGCTGAGGTGGACACACATACTCTGGCGGGAAACCATGCTTCAGCTCTCGTCCTGCTTGTTTTCTCTCCCAGCCAGGAAACCGGGGTCTCAGCAATTGGGACCATGTCAAGTCTGACAAATACCACCACATCCCCCCATTTCGGAGGATATATGCCCACTAGGAAAGCAGGCAGCTGTGTGCCTGGGTCAGCGTAGACCAGTCTGTGACCAGCCTTACCAACGCTTTTCACGTATATAACGGCTAGGAAGACTGGGCTCCACACAGGGCTTCTGCAGCTTCAGCTTGGCTTCTGGCTGTGGCTCTAAGCTCAAGTGCGTGGGGGTCTTGGGCCATAGCTAGGCCTTGAAAACACGCGCACAGTGCTACCGGCGCTCTCCAGGCCTGGCCCAGAGCCCTCCTTCTTTGATGCGCACTCACTCACGCTTGTTCCCAGACAAGAGCTAGTGGAAAATTTGCTGAAATTCCAGCTGGAAGTTGTCAGACAGTTGGTGGAAACCCCCTGACCTCAAGTGCTGGCTTCCGCCCTGCCTGACTTTTTTTTTCTCCTGCCTGGATGAGACTCTGCCAGCAGGGAACCTCACAGCGGACCCACAGGGAGCACAGAAGTCCTGGTGCTCCCGTCTCTGTGCTCTACCAGGCCCCCCCTGCAGTAAACCCTCTTACACTGTAAATATTTTAAAAGCCCAGCAGGGCTGTTGAGTATGTTTTGCTGTTGTTATGGATCTGGCCCCGGTAGGAGAGGTCTAATAATAGCGACCGTGCCGGGGAATGAAAGGGCAAGGGGAGCTTAGCACGAGGCGGAGAGCTCGGGTACAGCCGTACCGCTGTATGCCTGTCCCTGCAGCTCAGCAGTAACGGGGCGAGAAGCAGCATACGACGCCTGAGCCGAAGCAGGCGGTCCTAACCCTGTGCCCCTTGAGAACCGTGTCCTGATGTGGTGCAGAAAGCCACCCCGGACAGGCAGTAGAGGCCTCGCGGCTTTACCCTCCCGGGTGCCGGCAGGCCG